TATAAGTGATTGAGAGTATTTCATACACAGAATGTGTCCAAGAAAGGCTTGTGGAAAGCCATTAATGAATGCCTGATTTAACACTTTCTCCTCTTTGCAAAATTATTATCCATTGCCCATAATGTTGTAATGCTTAGGAAATGAAAATTATATAATAAGATATGGAGTCTGATGGCTTGAGTTTGAATTCCAGTTTTATGACTTACTAGCTGAGTAACCTTGATCCAAATTCAGTGGACTCTATAGGTCTAAGTTTTCTTATATCTAAAGTGGAAGTGATTATCTATCTTAAAGGATTATGGTGAAGATTAAATAAGATATTGCCATGCTATACTTTATTACACGAATAATATATCTATACTATACTCTTTTTTTAACATGTCTGACATATAGTTGATAATAAAAAGTAAGATATTAACATTATTTATAATTGTTTCATTTCATAGCTAAAAATTAGGATTATGTCAGTCAAGTAATAGTCTAAAATTACATGACTAATAAAAAGTGAAGCTGTGATTAGAATCCAACTTAAATAACTTTAGATCCCCTGAGTGTAATCTCTGAATATACTAAATCTTCTTCTTCTAGTAGTCCCCTTTTAGGCATTAATGTTCTTGAAATAAGAAAAGATGAACCATAAGAGACCCTAAAGATGGTATATGTATTCCCTTTATTTCATTCCTAGATGGTATAAAAAGATTGTATCTTTATGTTTTCTAATATAAAGTAGTTTTATGTTTCTTAAACTTTACAGTTTACAAAGACTTCTCTGATACTCCAAAACACATAAGCGTTGGCATGCCATTGCATTGGGGGAAGCGGAATGCTGGGAAAATTAGAACAAGACTCTGTGAATCTCAATGAAGCTATTTGAGATGGAAATCAGTCCCTCCTAGTCATCTCTAGCCCCTTGGTCCTTATTAAGCATCATGGTCTGAACATACCATCAGTGACGTTTTTCAGTTTGCCCATTTTATTGACAGATCCAGCACTTCCTCACTTCTGTCAACTGCACGGGAGAATTAAGAACTCAGGTTTTAAAAATCCATCTTTGCATATACAGCTAATACCTTGCTTAAGTCTCTTGGGAAAGCTTGTATTACAGTATTACAGATATTTGCTAAATAAAATGAGTTGAATAAATACAAAAGAGAGCCTAGTCCTTATCCTAAGGACTTAGATTACCAGTTGATTTCTTTTTGTCTTTTTATCAAAGATAATTACCAATAAAAGTGACTTTTTTCAAGTCATGTGTGTTAATGCATCTTTGTGAAATTTTGCTTTTATTAAGGGTTGTAGAAGGATGGTTCTTTCTTAATTCAGTAACTGCTTCAGCATAATTTAATACATATTTAGATGAAAAGTAGATATTTTCACAGCCCAGTGTTGCATATAGAGATAATGAAATCGCTTTGCCATTAAAATTTTGATTCGATTTCTCCCTAGAATGCATTAACAGAAAACCACTTTCATTTTTATAGTTGAAAAAAAAAAGGCAATTTACTGTTGTGAAGTTTCAGGAGTGTTCCAAACCAGCACAACTCTGGAGCCCCCTAAACTCCCCACTAAGTAGAGAGAGTCTCTGACTTTAAAACCCTGGCCACTAGTATTGTGTTTTATCCTTAGAAATCTGCTTCTCACTATTATTTTCATGCCTACTGAGCTGGCATTAAGATTACTTTTCTTACAAAGAAAATGTAATAAATTTTAATAGAAATACCAAAAAAGTTAATAAATGAGTTAATAAATGATAATATGATGTGCTTATTTGTTATTGGAACTCTAAGTTTCAAGAAACTGTATCACGAGGATGCCTGAAATAGCAGCCCCAAATGTCAAATTCTAGAGCTACAGGAAAGGACATTTCTCTATTCTCTTGCAATACAATGAATATTTCCCAGAGGTAAGATGAATTATCCCACTATGGAAGAGAAGGAAAGATTAGTCTAATGGTTATACTGTATGTCAATTTTAAAGTAGGCCACTGATATCTATTTTATGGTAAATGATATGTGTTACATAAATTCTCAAATTTTAATTACCTGTTACACCCATTGAAGTTTTGAAATTGAATGTTCCATGGAGATTATCAAGTCCAGTTTTCTCATTTTGGAAAACTAGAAAACTAGAGAGGTAAAGTGACTTAGCCAATGTTAGAGAAAGTAAGAGAGTGGCAGAGGAGGCATAAGCATTTGTGCTCCAACTACTATTTTATATTCTCAGGAGAAAGAATGTTACCTGATAACTGTAACTCTCAGGTTATAAACATACGACATGGATCTCTGTGTAGTATTATGTATTCATGAATATCATATATAGATCAGAACAGGATCCAAGACTCAAGGACCTAATCCCCCATCTTCTACAATGAAGGAAAACTCAAAGCACTCAAAGATAAGCAAATACAAATATTTTAGACTTTTACATTACCAATTTATTTTGAAGTACATGTATTCTATACATAGACAAAAGCAAAATAACTACATTATGCAAATGTCATATTTTATATGCCCTTCAGAACAATATGCATATTACAAATATAACACAGAAAAGAAAAACTACATTCTGAATATCGTGTATACTGTAAAACAGTTGTAAGTTTACATGACGAGATTTAATGATTTAGGGAAACAGTTCACAGTCATCCTCATAAGGCTTTAACCTAGGTTCAAGATTTTCTACTTAATATTCAAATTCTTTCATAGGACAATTGAGCAGACAGAAATAAGAAAGATGAAATAAATCATTATCTTCTGAACTCAGACATGCAAAATGGTGCGGGAGGAAAGGAACTCCTAGGTGAAAACAAATCTGAATGAAATGAACATCAGCACTTTTTTTTAAAGAAAGTTTCAGAAAAAAACTATGAAGATGCTAGCTTGATAATAAACATTGCTTATCCTTTTATTAATTAAAATTAGGCTGTAACTGTAGAGTACACATATTCTGAACTGCAGACTTGAACTATATACAATTAGCTATATCAATCTATTCATTTGTTTTTTATCTCCAGCTAGCAAAGAATGTAGTCAACTTAAATCTTGTTTTAAAGGTCTTCTCACTCTAAAATTTACTTTGGAGATTTGTCTTATACAGACTTTCAGATGAAAAACATGATTGCTTTCTCTCTCTCTATCAACTTTCACGCATTAAATAATTCTTCCTTAATGTGGTTATCAACATTTTACCATTTATAATTACTTCCTAACAATCACTGGAAATCATATATGAAGTTTATATTAAAGTTTCTGAGATAGTGCATTCTCTCCATAGTATTAGTCCAAGATTGGTCTGGAGAATGCTGATATTAGAAAACATAAAGTACAAGAGAGAAATTGTTCATACAAATCAGTACAACTTTGAATGTAAGTAATAAAAATGAAAGACTTCATAGAGGTTAGCAGCTGTTAGAGGAAGGAAACACAAGTTCTCATATGGGAGAGTGAATATTGGGGCTCCTGAAACAAGCAGAACCAGTACTAGAGTAAGTGTCATCTCCACATCCAGAGTCAAAGCCCTCTACACAAGAGCTGAAAGAATGACCACACAACATCCATGAAATAAGATAAAACAAGTCCCTCAACAGAGCCAGGAATTCTGAGATTATTCCATGAATTGTCAGTCTCACAGAGAATAAAAACCAGCTCATTGAAATGGGACGTCCCAATCACATTTGCCAAGTAAAATAACACACACAAATGAACAGAGAAGCCAAACCAAGTTACTGGTTTCATGACAGTGTACAACATGAAGTCAATTTTAAAGAGCAATGGCCACTTCTAGATTTTAGAATTTATCCTCTTTCTAGAACTACAGATATTTCCATCAGACAGGGCTGCCAAAAGCATTCTGCAACTTATTTTAAAATTAAACAAACAAACCCAGCTCTCCACCATCCCCCGCCTCCTGCACCCTGCATCCCCCGCCCCATGAGTTATAAATGTAGGTTTCTGGTAACCTACATCAGAGTGACACACTTATTTTAATTTAATGTTTGCTATTTGTAAATGCAATCTCATTTGTGTTACACTGTGGCAGCCATTCTCTGGAGGGCTGGATTAGTTGTGGATGTAAATACATTTATAACGTATTTTCCTTTTTACTTAAGTTTAAAATTTGAAGCAAGGAAAATATCTAAACATAACTACGTCAAACATCATCTAGAGCTTCTTTCAAAAATTGCTCTGCCAACTTTAGAGAAACAACGACCGGCTGTATGCAGACACACTCTCAAATGTGTTCTGAATAGTTAGAAAATTATAATGTAAATTTACCCAGATTCCCAGAGAAAGATTTAATTTAGGAAACAATAAGGGCAAATACAAAATTTACTGTTTAAACAAAGAGGTGATTGACAAGAACAGGAGAATGAGCCTCTAAGGAACATAAACAGCAATACTTGAAAAACAACTGGCTACCTGGAATCTATGTTAAAGTCTGTTATATGAGTTAGAGTCTTTTCCCCTTAGAATCTCTGTTAGTATGTAAAATAGATAACATTATAAACACTTCTCCAGATGACCTTATGAAAAGCCTGCCATTCTCAGGCTCCAACCTTAGACCAGAAGAAATTATGTCTCTTTATTTCCATTTGATCAATGCATTTGTATAGCAAGAAATGAGTGATCTCACAATATACCCAAATAAAATTTGCCGATACAATAAAAGGAGATATTAGATAACCGAACATTATTATGGACTAAATGCTCTCAAAACAAGCAGGTAGATCCGTTATAAACCCTTAACTACTTCAGTTTTTGTTCTCACATTTTTGATTCAAAGTGTTTCTCCTAGTTTTAACATCCTCTTGTGAAAACATTACTGCAACTTACAAAAGTTTATTTCATTAATCTTTGCTACCCTGAAAAACCTGGCTTCCTTCAAGTCCATCCCAGAGTAACATTTCTCTGATCTCATTTCAGGTGCCTCCTACATTCATCTAAGACATTTTCATTGCAAAACAGAGAATTTTCAGAAGTCACTAAAAAGCACTCCCTTACCTTCTAAACCTGCTTCAATCAGCCCAAACTGTTCCAATAATTTAACAAAAAGCACAATGACGATCAGAACTGCTATCATTTCAAGCCCTTCCAAGTTCATGGTCAGCTAGGTCATGGTCCGACCACAGCCACTGAGAAGTGCTCCTCTGCCTGGCTTTCTTTGTAAAGCCATTAAACTACATTAAGAAGGCTACTGCTAGAGAAAGGGGAGGAGGAGAGCGTATGAGAGAGAGAGAGAGAGAGAGAGAGAGAGAGAGAGAGAGAAGAGAGAGAGAAGGGAAAGGAGGCGAGATGGAGATGGAGAGGCTGAGAAAAAGGGCGTGAGAGAGAGAAAATGCATTCATCCTGTCTGCTGTAGCAGAGGCCAGAAGTGGCAGCCGGATAAAGTCGGGCCTGTCGGAATTATCGGCTTCCTCGTTATCACTCTTGCACAGAGAGACAGCCACGCATCAAGTCTCGCTCAGATCACCCGAGGACCCACGAGGTCACCAGGAACGTCCCGAGGAAACGTGAGGCCCGGCGCGGCGGAGATGGCTCTGCGCCCCGGGACTCCGCGCGCCCGCGCCGCCGCCACCAGTGGCTTTGTTGGGCCGGCCAGTTGCCTTGGAAACAAGAGAACCTAAGCAAGGGCTGGACTCCCGCTGCAGACGGGGAGCAGAGCACCGCACCTTGAAATACGGAGAAAAACCTGACAACGCTGAGTGGTGGAGTGACAACTTGCATTCAGCTGTTTCAGAAACATTGTTGACCAGTAAGGAAAATCCAAATGTGTATTTTGTCCCAACTAGCTGAGTGCAGATTGAAACGAGGCTTAACGGAGTCCTTCAATGTTGACTTTCTTTCCCATGAGTCACCTTATCCGAAAGCTCAGTCACTGAGAACTAATATTCTGGTTTGAGTAGTAACTATCATATCTTTTCGAAGCATGGGAATAGTAAACGAATAAGTATTCATCATGTTTGCATAGTATTTGAGTTTAACAGCTACCTCCTATGCACTACCTCATACCATTCAATACACCAAAATATATACAGTATTTAATGTGTTCCTTCTATCCTTTACAAATAATGATTTAAGTAAATTTGGAAACAGGAAAAGTTTGAGAATAAAAATAAAATAAAAAAGAAAAGCTGAAGCTTTTGTCTCTCTCTTGCACAACTATTTCATCTTTCTCTTTCCTCCTAACACTGCCCAAATAGATTAGCTCCACAATGAAATACAGAATTTAAAAAAAAAAAATACAAGAGAGGGAAAGCATCTTAGAAAGCCAATTCAAGTCTCCTATTTCATAGATGAACAAGCTGAGGACCGAAGAGTGCAAAAGAGATGAGGCAAAGGCAGAGCGGGATAGAAGGCATCCTTCACTGGGGGTTGATTTTTGAGGCAGTGGAGTATAAGTTCAGAATATGAACTCCAGGGACAGACCACTGGGATCTCTTACTAGCTGTGTGACCTTAGGTAAGTTACTTAACATCTCTGTGTCTTAATGTCCTCATCCATAAAGAGAGGCATAATAGCACCTAGCTCATCACTCTTTAGAGGGAATTAATGAGTGACACTTTTAGAAAAGAGTGAGTGCTCAATCACTACCACCTCGCGTGTTTTTCACAAGTGTCTCCATGCTCTGCTCAGACTTTGTTAGGTTGCCAGAGGAATCAATCTGGAGGAAGTGCAGTCCTCCTCTTATCATTCTCTTAATCAGAAACCTTCCATGGTTCCCTATTTGCCTGCAGAACAAAGTTGAAGCTCCTTTGAAGAGCATGCTGGTCTCTCCATGATCCGGTACCTCCTTCAGGATTGCACCTCAGTGGTCTTACTCCTGTCAATACACTCTGCCTGACAGTTCAGCTTCCTTCGCCCAAACTCATCCTGGGCTTTTCCATTTCCAGGACTTTGCTCAAACCGCTCTATCTATTTAGAAAAACGTTTCTACACCATCTCTGCCTGTCAAGTTCTTAAAACTCTTTCATGGAAACTTCAACCAGAATTGGATCAAATCTCTCTTTTTTTGTGTGTTTTTATGGTACTTTTCCTACTTATGATGTATTATATGATAGCCATATGGGTATACATTCTCTCCATTAAAGGGTAAGCTGCCAGAGGGCAGAAATCACGCCTTGCTAATCTAGATAGTCCCTACTGTGCCTCCATGGAGGGCACTTCTTACTTCCTAGATGTTTGCTGGATAATAAAAGTCATCAATGATTAGGTGATTACTACACACCAGATGATTTAATGCATTGCTCCTTCCTAGACATTCTAAAAGTAGGGATGATGATTTGCAGGTGAAACACTAGCCTTAGAGAATCTAAGTAGCAGGCTCAAGGTCATACAGCTGGTGAATGATGGAACCAAGCTTCAAATTCTGATTTGTTTAATGCAAAACCAATTACTTCGTCCCATTATCCAACAGGGCTTTAAATGAATTAAAAATCCAAATATTGGCACAAGTGCTTATCAGCACAGGGGTGAAGGTTACACCCAAAATGATCCCCCAAACTGTCTTGTGACATTCTTTTTTTTTTTTTTTTTGAAAGAGAGAGACAGGGTTTTGCTCTGTAATCCAGGCTTGAGAGCAGTGGCGTGATCACAGCTCACTGCAGACTTAACCTCTAGAGCTCAAATGATCTTCCTGTTTCGGCCTCCCAAAGTTCTGGGACTACAAGCATGAGCTACCACATCTGGCTGACATACTGTTTTATCCACTAATTCCAGTAACTTTGGAACATGAAAAGCATCCAAACTAGTAGTTAATTAAACTCAAGGATCTTTCTTCCTCCTCATTCACAGGATTAATATTACTTAAACACACCCCACCTTGGAACTCGAAAGGGAGTTCTGTTTTTCTAGTACAGTGAACTCTGCAGAGCCCTTCAGCTTGCCTTATCTATGAATGTCCGTAGTCAAGCCCTTTGTGTTCACATTTAAAGTTCATGACTTGAGGCTGAGAAACATATGTAGGCAGGAACTTTTTTTTTCTTTTCTTTTTTTTTTTTTTTTTTTTTTTTTTGAGACAGTGTTTCGCTCTTGTTGCCCAGGCTGGAGTGCAATGGCACAATCTCAGCTCACTGCAACCTCCGCCTCCCGGGTTCAAGCAATTCTCCTGCCTCAGCCTCCTGAGTAGCTGGGATTACAGGCGCATGCCACCACGCCCAGCTAATTTTGTATTTTTAGTAGAGACAGGGTTTCTCCATGTTGGCCAGGCTGGTCTTGAACTCCCGAGCTCAGGTGATCTGCCTGCCTCAGACCCCCAGAATGCTGGGATTATAGGCATGAGCTACCATGCCCAGCCGGCAGGAACTGTTGAAGAGCATCAGAGTGAGAGTCCTTCTACTCAGTCTGGATGTCACAATTACGGGTTCCTTTGCTGTTATGTTGTGCTTCCCAAGGCCTGAGGGTTTTTCTTTTTAAATTTTTACCTCATTAGCTCAGGCCTTTGTCCTTGCATTTCCCTCTCTTGCAGTGTTTATCCCCATATCTTCCCATGAATAAGTGACTTGACTTAGGTCTTAGTTCCAAAATTCCTATCACAGAGAGGCTCTTTCTAATCACACTATATGGAAAAACCTCCCTCACCTGGCCCTGGAGTCACTACCCTCTGAACCAGTGTTATTTTCCTCCAAAGCATTGTCACCACCTGGCATGTATGTTTGTTTATTAAGTGTCTCCTGCCAGAATTGTTACAATATAAACTCCTACCTATGAAGGTAGAGATTTTGTCTGTCTTGTTCAATATAATATCCTCAATTGCAGAGTGGTGCGCGATGAATAAGAGGGAGTGAGTGGTTGTTGAATGAATAATCTGATTGATATTCTCACCTAAAAAGCTACCTGCTCTCTCCCTGATCTGGCAGAACCCAATTTCCTGTTACCAGAGTGCCTCCTCTGCCTGTGGACCCTGAGAGATTTCCGTGCTTTTTTTTTTTTTTCTTAGGAAGTCCTATTCCTACTGCTTCTTTTAAAGGTGAGCCAAGAGCACTGCATGCTCAAACATATTGGCTGTGCTATGTCTTCAGCATTTAATGTGAGTATGATTTGTGGTTCCTGCCCATGTGAACAATGAAAGCAATACAAGGAAGGCAGCCAAGAAGATTGCCCTGCCCAAAATATCTTAAAATCGCTGGTATGGATGATAAGTACCTTGGATAGCATCCACTCGCATCCCTTCATTTTCAGCTAAAAGAACACTGCAATCTAAATAAGTAAAGTTACTTAACTATATATGCAACTCTTACCTTCAAGTCGCAGCGAGGATTCAAACTAAAATATTAATCCAATATATTTTCTTCCTGTAGGGCCTTGAATTCCCTTTTAAATGAGAAATATTAAGAGTGTCCAACAGAAAGAGGAAACCTAAATACTGGCTCCAAATCTTTGTCCTCATTTGGATTGCTTGAACTCGCTATACTTCGGTTTGCTGGTCATCAAAATGAGGCTAATATCCCTCCTTCAGGGAAGTGTTGTGAGGATTAGGTGCAATAATATTTGTAAATGATACTTAATCTTCGTGGAGCACATATGTTTTCAAGCAGTGGGCCTAACACATAGACTCGTCCATTCTTAAAACCCCTCTTTGAGGAAGAGAGGGGTTTATATTTCCATCTTATGGATGAGGAAACAAAGGTTTGTGAAGGACTAGTCAATTATCCCATGTCCCAAAGCATCTGAAGCCAGTGGGGCTGATGGTCATCACATTTCCCATGTGTCTCATGTAACAGTGGCCAGGGATACCCAAAGCATTCAATGAAACAAACATCACCGGCATAAGTAACCCAACACTCAATTGTGACTTTTTAAAAGATTTCTCGCCCTTTCTGCATTAATATTAGATACAAGAAAGGTCTGTGCCCCTGTCGTGTGTGTGTGTGTGTGTGTGTTTGTGTGTGTGTAGCAGATAAGTATGAAGTGGTAGTGAGAGAAAAGGGATACTGTTTGTGAGTTTGCCAACATTTTCTTCTCTGCAATGCATTCTCACGTAACTGAGGAGGGTGTGAGGCTGTTTCAGGTGCTTCCGTTTAAAGAAGTTCCTTCAAAACAATGTTGGGGAGTCCATCAGCTCAGGCTCTACTGCTGCATGAAGGTTATCTCTTACCTGTCCCCAGAAAAATGAACGTGCTTAATTAGAGACACTCTTACTTTTGTACTTCAGAGCATATCCCTCAAGTGCAGTTTATTCAAAATCACCAGTTACTCACAGTAATGAACCCATTTCTGCTTTGA